TAACTCGGACATTTTGCCGAGAGAACTGAACACAACTGGTTTTGAGCTTATACGTATATGCCCTCGTTTGTTTACAGTTTGTGTATGTTTTCTTATACCTGTGTTTCAGTTATAGATACATTATATATATATATATATACACAAGCTGATTATTTTCTGATTTGTATATACATTTATCTACATGAGTGGAACATTTACGCACATGAATGGCAAGGGTGCGAGCCTGAGTCCCAAGCCGCCGTTGAGCTGCCAAGCTCAACTCCGGAGAGGCCCAGAGATCCCAATACCCCTTACCCTAGGGCTCCAGTTACCTTAATAGTAGGTTACTAACCATATAATCTACAACCCAGTATTCTACTGTTTAGGTAACTGGAGGTCCAGGGTTGATTAAGCAATGTACCTTAAATCATAGTACTAAGGCCTCTATAACTTCAGGTATATTTCTTAATTAAGCAATGTACCTCAAATCATAGTATTAAGGCCTCTATAATTCCAGGTATATTTCTTAATTAAGGGGTATTGGGTTCTCTGGGGACGGCTGGACATGAGGGTTAGGAGCAAGTCCCAGTGTCCCTTTATGGTGCTCGGTCCTTGCCGAATAGGTTGAGGGAAGGCTCTACTAGAAAAGCCTCACTATGTTTGGGGGGCCCTTATCCTAGTTATAGTATGATGCGCCCCGAAACCCTTTTCTAATTCTTAATCTAGGTAGGCCTTTGGGACATTTTATATTTTCCCTCATTGGGCTTAATATGACCTTATTTACGAAAATTTTCAGAGGCTTTAATGGACCAACCTAGTAATTAAGGCCCCTATAGTACTTTGTTCTTGTGAGTTTCAGATCATCCTAGTTTTAGCATATTGGGCTCCGAAACTCTATTCTAATTATAAATTAAGGCCCCTATAGTACTTTGTTCTTGTGAGTTTCAGATCCGGCTTTTTGGGGGTCTCTCTGTTGATGATATAAATCCTGCATTACCCATAATAAGGAATATACCGTTATTCCCATAGTTTAGGGTCCTTAAGGTAATGCAGGATTTATATCATCAACCGCTCCGTCACATGGGAGACCTGCGAAATTCACATTGCCAAATCTGAAGCCTGAACCCGGTTTAGGGTTCAGGAACCCAAAGGCTCCTACAAAGTTCAGGGTTTCAGGGACTCCCAAATTGCAAGAAGGCCCCGAAAGTCGTGACAACGGCTGATAATATAGATCCAGCATTACCTTACTGACCCTAGACTATGGGAGTTATGGTATACTCCTTGTTATGGTTGATGCAGAAGTTAGAATCATCAGCTGTACGTCTTCTTGCCATGGTTCATGGGTAGTTCTAAGTAGGGTAACTATACTTATAACCCATATTCGGCGACTTATGACCCTACGTATAACTACCCCTGAACCCTAAACCCTTATAGAATCCCTATAGATCCCTTTAAAGGGACCCTTAAAGGAGCCCTTATAACTACCCCTGAAGCTCCAAGTGGAGGCTACATCCTCAGCTCCTGGAGTTCGAGCCCAGACAGCTTCTCGGCTTGGATCCGGGTCGACATCCAAGCCCAGCAGGGACTCAGTAGCTGAGGGGATACACTTTACACTTATATAGTTGGGATAAAATTACCCACTATAAAACTGAAAGTGTACACTTTTTGGGGCTTATGAACTCAGCAACTAAGGGTGCTGATGTAGGTTCCTAGGGTTCCTTGTTGTGGTTGTAGTATAATCTACCCCAAAGATACAGGTTCCTAGGGTTCCTTTTGGTGGTCATAGTATAATCTACCCCAAAGATACAGGTTCCTAGGGTTCCTTATTGTGGTCATAGTATAAGCTACCCCAAAGCCCTATACTCTGACTTCTGAAGCGCCTGAATTATTATCTTCAGGCCGCTGACCTGTACACCCGGGTGCCGGCAATATTTGCTGCGTTCGCAGCGCTCAACAATCCTAGATCCCGGGTCAAGCAAGCCAATATTCTTGTAGATTATTCTGTAGTTTGGTATTCGGTATGGCTCAACAGTTGTCTTGCCGAAGCTTAGAACCTGCAGCTATTTCGGGTCCACCCTCCCAGACGGGCTTAATGGCTGCTGAGGATTGCCCGCCTGTGCCACTCCTACTCCCTGCTTCGCTGGAAGCACGATACCGTCTTCCGCGAGGCAAGTTCAGAGGGAGAGAGACCCTTGGGCTCCACTTACCTATCAAGTAGGTTATTGTAACCACATATTATATACCCCAGTAACCTACTACTTAGGTAACTGGAGCCCTTATAGGGAGAGGGGAAGAAGCTATTCGAAACATCGCACGCGGATAGAAGCGGTGAATTGCGGCCGGACGCTGGTTTCAGTATTTGAGCAGATTGATTTGAATTTGGTTTCGGCGATGGGGGTTTGGTCGAAGACTGAAGTTAACAAAAGTACGTGGTGCTTGTGCTGGTGCTTGTGCTGGTGGTTGCGCTGGTGCTGGTGCTGGTGTGGTTGCCCTTTTGTGCTTCTTACTCTTACTCATTGCATGAAGAGTCTTAAACTGCTGACTTGTGCTGTGATTGTGTTTATGCCTGGAAGGTGCTGACCGCCATCAACGAGGACCAAGTTAGGGTTTAGGGTTCATTTGGATGCAAGCAATATCTTTACAGGCTTCTACTGACACTGCTACTGTGTTAGTACTTCTACCATCTACAACTCCCTTCAATCGACTAATGGCCGCTTTTTTTTTTTGCGATTAGGTAGTGGCGACTTAGAGTAAGAGTAGGTTCAGGGTTGAGAGCTCTAGCTCACGGTGTTTCTAGCGTTGCCTCTGTTGTCAGCACGGAGGTTTTAGAGTCTAGGGCTTTAGGGGTTTAGGGTTTCGGGTTTCAGGGTTTAGGGTTTAGTACGTAATGGTGCAGGAGGGTTTAGGGTTTAGGGAGGTCATAGGTAAGCGCTTAAGCTGGAGCCACGGACTCCCTCCAAAAGCCGCGCCGCAAGCACTGCAAACCCAAAAAAGGCAGACACCCAATCTACCCTGTGAGCCCCTCTGCAAATTCGCCTCTAAAACCCCTTTGCCTCTCGAAGGAGCAGAGCAAGATTCAGCGAGATCGCACGCTGGGCATTACTGCCCCGGGGGCTGAGGCCGAGTTGGTGCTGCTAAGGCTGCTACATTAGGGTTTAGGGTTTAGGGTTTAAGGTTTAGGGTTTAGGGTTTAGTCGAGTAGGCAACCTTTAACCTTCTTTGGGTAGTATAGTCCCTATATAATCCCTATATAACCCAAAAGGTTACCCTTGAGTTCCCCATGATACCCGACAAGTACGACCTTTAGTCACTATAGGTCGGGCTTCCCGGCTTAGGATCTAAGGCGCATAGGTTTCGTAGTTTTGTTGGAGAGTGTCCTGTGGGCTCGACCGGGCACTGTTCCAGGAGCCTTAACGCTCAAACCCGACACCCGAAGCCCATAAACCCTAAACCCTAAACGCTCATCTTGCGTTGAGCCACCTGTCATGAGGTGCCGTCGTTTGAGGCCCAGAGAGGAGGGCACCCCTTCATGGTTTAGGGTATACCTATAGTCTCCATTGTAGTTCCTTTTTTTGGTTAACCCATTCTATGGTTAGGATCCTATAATAGAGATTTTGGTTAACCACAAAAGGAACTACAATGGAGACTATAGGTAGGGACCTAGCAAGTTGGCTAGTATGCCCAAGTAAAGCTGTCCTGATACTTGTGCGTCTAGCCGGCTGTTGCACTCTGTTTGTAGTCTCCCGGGCACGTAGCGGCATATATGCTCTCCAAGGGGGGGGATACCATGGGGTGGGAGGGGGGAGGGCAGCCCTGCATCATATATGTGCTTGAAATCTACAGAGCCCGCTTGTCCATACGGGCTGAAGAAAAGTTTCTAAACTCAGCAAGCAGTGGACGTAGGCCGTAGGTAGGTCGTGGGATTGCTGAGCATGCGCGGGATTTGCTGCGCTCCTTCCTGGGTCCTATACTTGAGCCTAACCCTGAACCCTCAGCCAAACTGGCATTACGACTCCTAACCGGGCAGAAGGAAAAGAGGGCTACACAAAAATAACTGAACCCTCAACCTATCGCATCCTAGAGGCATCTGCTGAGCATTGCAGTTGCCTCAGTCCTCTTCCAGACCCCGGGATTCCTATGTCTCGGATCATGTGGGAAGTCGCATATGCGGCGGGGCCCACGCCGGTGAAGTTCCCCTCAGCTTCCTGGAGTTGGAAGATGTACTTATAGACTTATAGATGGAGATCGGGAGAATTAGGGTTTAGGGTTGGCAAGGCAACCCTCTAAGCTGTAAGCAGATATAAATCTAGGATTTCATACATATTGCATGTCTCCAAAACGTGTTCTACTCATAGAGGTCCAGGCAATGGGACACCGATCCTATCCCCCATACCCCTGCACTTTGCAACGAGACCATGTGCAGGAAAAGCTGCGATTTGGCTCAACTGAGGCTGGAGTGTGATTGAATGAAGGGGCCGGGGGTCGGTTTAAGGCAGTCGAAGCAGAATTTCGAGACTAATCCAGAATGAACCAAACTAGAATCTACACATTGTCAGACATATATGATTTCACGGGCTGCACCATAAGCCTGCACTCTGTAGTCCTCCGGTCATATTCTGCGTTGGTTAGATTGACCGCATCCTGTTGGTATCATCTTTCGTACAATTTGGAGGCAGTCATGTAGAGGTCATGCTGCATTTCAGAGTAGCCAGGCTTGTCTCCCACCTCCCTCCCACCTCCCTCGCTCTTAACGGTTGTCAGATCACCTCGTGCTTGATGCGACGGCACCGATGCTTCGGTCTTGCTGATGATTCAGAATATCGGGTGCAAGCTCCAAGATCATCAGCAACTTTGGGGGACTGTACTTCAAGTCTTCAAGTTCTGAGCCTTGAGCAGTCAGCAGTTCTTCTCGGACAGGGAGAGCCTTTCTTGACCTGTCAACAGAAGATGATTAAAGCTGGTGAATCGGAATGGACCGCAGAATGCAAGAAATCCCTACTCCATCCGATCCCCTCTTTCAGATGGCGCTGATCGCGGACGCTTTGGTCGTCTTGCGGATGTACCGTGGCAACAACGACTGGTGCCTCCGGCGCAAGTTACATTTACACTACCGATGACTTTGGTCGTTGTACCTTCTTGGCAGACTTGCCATCTTAATTACGGAGTCTTACAGGGCGGGGTTTGAAGTGACGTGGCATTACAGAAAGTCGTTCCTATCATCACTTTGGTGTGAAACGGCCCCGGCATTCGATTCGTTTGTTTTGACCTCCCGGGATGCGTGAAGCCATTCTAGTTCGTGCGACCTACCCTCCGGAAGACCCACACCTACTATATGAACAATAAGTAAAGCAAAGTAAAACAGAAATGAACACATGCAAAAAGTATACGTACATACATATATATATATATATATGTATAATATATGTATATACACACATAAAATCACATACATATATATATATATGTATATACACAGAGGTTGATACACAGATCGACATGTGGATATATATATATATAGTATGGACCATATATATATATATATATATAGAGAGAGAGAGAGAGAGAGAGAGAGAGAGAGAGACAGAGAGAGAGAGAGAGATAGTGAGAGTGAGTGCGAGCGGCCGAATCACCAAGGTTCCGCTGGGGCGAGACCTATCAGGCTCAGATTCCGGGTACATGATTCTCGGGAGGGTCGGGTGCATGGTCAGCGTCTCGGGTGTCTGTCTGTCTGCCTGTCCGTGGGTCTGTATGTCCGTCTGTATGTATGTATAAAGGTATGAATAGGTGCCTGTATATATATATATATATACATGTATATATATATATATATATATATATATATATATATATACATACACGCACAGACACACACACACACACACACTCAAACAGGTAAGTTATGTACATATTGAACAGATAGGGTGCTTGAAAACAATATTCAGGGCTTCGCTTCTTTCTATCTATAGGCTTCCAAGGAGCTGCAACTTGGAATTTCAAGCCTCAAGCAAGTATTGGCCCGGACGCAAACCGAAGATTTCCTCAGCATTTTTTGTGAGAGAACCTGATTTCAAGGATCCTACTTTTCCTGGTTTAGATCAGGAATCTTTGTTTTCTTAAGACTAAGAAAGACCATGCGGTTGATGATATAAATCCTGCACTACCCCAATGACCTAGACTATGGGAATTATGGTATATTCCCTATGATGGGTAGTGCAGGAGTTATACTATCAACCGTATGTTTTGGAGAGGAGCTACTGGACGTGCTGCAGCGGCGTCTGGAGACAACTCGCGACCTAGACTGCATGGCCGCGAGGTGGGCCCAGGTCTCGGGTTTAGGGTTTATAAGGTTGATGATATAAATCCTGCATTACCTTATGACCCTAGACTATGAGAATTATGGTATATTCCTTATCTTGGGTAATGCAGGGTTTATATCATCAACTCCAAGGTTCAGGGTTTAGCAGTCTTTGGGATGTTGGGGTCTAGGCGAGTATAGCGCTATAGCGGTTAGGTTTGAAGGTTTAGGTTTCTGTCCGACGTGTTAGTGTAGATGATTCCGCAGAGAGAGAGAGAGAGAGAGAGAGAGAGAGATATGCTATGTCCAACCTCCTGGTCTTAAGGAACATCATGTAGGTCCCGGATGTCTTTAGAGCTTCAAAGCTCATGTCCAGCCGCAAAAACCACATTCCAAACAACCCGGTAGCCTCCTATATACATCTTACACCCTACGCCGGTCAGCTGTGACCTAGATGACCTCACCCTTGAGGATTTAGAGGTTTAGGGTCGGTTTAGGGTTCCTTCCCTTCTGATCATTTATACAAATCTCAAGTGCCACTTTTGCCACCCCATCCACGTGCTCCCTGCTGCTGCACTCTGCAAACGCTATGAGCTTCACACCACGGGTCCAAGTACTTGTTACTTGTAATCATCACATACCGCTGCCGCAAATACCATGCCACTGCTCCTATCCTATCCTATCCTATCCTGAAACCATGAAGGCAGTGTTAGGTCCTTTGGGCCCTTGGTTACGTAACCCTAAGCCCTAAACCCCTAAACCCTAAACCCGTGGATTTTGCATCCAAGTCGGAGGCCCCTGGCTGCTGCGGCATATGCCCTTGGCCGCGCGAAGCGAGGCCAACCTCAGGTATGCCCGGTTGCCTACCCCTAGGGCCCAAAAAAGCACATAAGCAAAAACTAGGATAGTGATATCCCATATAAAGCCCCTTATAATGAAGGCCAATAAGGTACGGATATCCCTCTAAAATGCTTATGCTTATGTGCTTTTGGGGGTCCCTAACCCCTGCCCCAGGGCTCCAGTCCAGCTACAAATAGTAGCTTACTGGGGTGCATATTCTGTGGTTAGTCATCTACTATTTAGGTAACTCGAGCCCTCGGGTGCACAGTGGGGTAGCTGTGATGACGATGATGGTGGTGGTTTCGGTGGTGTTGCGCTACATATGAATAGGTATAGTGTGACCTGCGCACGTTAAACTGCCCCTTTAAGGAGCAAACCCCAGCCATCTGAGCACTTCGCCCCACAGCTTCTCTTAGTATCCCATATACTTGGTCGGTGCGCCTCATTTTCCCTGGCCCTTTCCTGTGTGTGTTCAGGGTTTGGGTCTAGCATCCATATTCGGAGTACTTCTTATGGCATAGGGGGGTGGGGGAAGGGGGGTGGGTGGGGGGCTATGAATGTCCTGTTCGACCGCATTTCTGCTACAACATCCCCCAGAAGAACAACTCGGAGGCCTCAAAAGGTTTGATGAAGGTAGGTAGGATTAAGGATCCCTTATACAAGGAGTCTTATTTGGGAATATCCCACCTACCTTCATCCCACCTTACATAAGGACTCTTATTTGGGAATATCCCACCTAGCTTCATCCCACCTTTTGAGGCCTCCGAACAACATCTCCAAACCCCACAACCGCAGGTCGCAGCAGCCCCCGAGCCTGAAAACATTTACCTCTTTTAGAATGATAGAATCACAATATTCATTGGAAGCTGCCCCCACCCTGTAATAGTGGTATAATAGGAATATAATCCTATATAATCCTTATAGTCACTATTACAGGGTGGGGGCAGCTTCTAAAATATTCATAACAATATCAAGACTTAGCAGTCATGAGAACATTCACAAGTATTCTTCGTATCCTGTCGGGCAAGCTTGTTCTGAATCCATTCCTTCGGCGCTTGGAGTTGCGCAGATTTGGACCTCTGTAAGGAATCGTTTTTTGAGGCCTCAAAACTAGCTCATACTCACAAGTCCCACACCTGCCACTCAAAACAAACCTTGAAGCAGCCCAAACTACCAGTGAAAAAAAGGCGCGTTAAGCATATAGTTCCCCCAGGATACTGGACAGGTAACCTCTACCCATAGGCCCCATAGTAGTTCCTTTTTGGGGGGGGTTCATATTTAGAATATATTTCAAAAAGGAATTATTATGGGGCCTATGGGTATCCTGAAAGCATTAGGGCCTGTTAGGGCCTATTAATGGGGACCCCTACCCTATAATGGGCTATAAGAATGGGTATATAATGGCTATATTAAGGGTATATACATAGGGGTCCTTATCAAGGGTCCCTCCTTTTACCCTTGTACTTAAGGTCGAGTGTTCGAGATTGGCACCGGCTTTCCCCGTGACTATTTGCCCACGAGCCACCTCCATCCCCACATGCCGCGCCAAGTCTCAGCTCTGATAAGAACCTTTGCAGCTGCTTAGACTCCACAGCACCGCAGCTGCATGCAAGTAAACCGTAGCCTGCGGGAAGTTCGTTTTATGTTATGTCACTTATGTCTACGAAGCTGTTGCCGGCATCAGGCTCCGAAGGGCTTTGCTCAGCTTTTTTGGCTTCCTGGCTGCATAGTATGAGTGAAGGGTGGAGTTCCCCATATTCAATTCTCCCACGTAGGGAATATGGCGAGTGTGACAAAGAATGAGCTGGATTCTTCAGACCTACTTACCCGTCTTACTAGAGATGATCTCTGAAACCACGGCGGGTATATGGAACAAAGAAGGCTAAGGGAATTTCTGCATCCCCACCCAGCAGGATGAAAGGTATCTGGAGAGGTGACAGTTGCGAGGTGGTATTCGGGGTGCTGAAGGTCGGTCCTCAAGAACTGCAAAAGGGTCATGTGCATAACAGCCACTATTGTTACCGTTGGAATAGCCCGAGCGTGAGACGTACGTTTGTTACGTCGGAACGGTTTAGGGTTCAGGGCACCGAACTTCGCATGAACACCTCAAGAGCCCGTGAAGTAGTAGGGTCAACGGAACCATTAGCCTGCATTTCTGTTTGCCCTGCACATCCCTGAACCCACCCCAAAACCTGTAACGTTGCCCTAGAATGCTGTAGGGGCTTTATTGGTTACCATATACTGTTTTGGTGGTTCCTCAGTATGAGTATGGAATACCATAACCCAAAATCCTATTCTATTGCCCTAGATTAGGGCTTCTGTCCCTGCCAAGGAAAGAATGCGCCAATTGCTGGAGCGCTTTTGCGTCGAATCAGTGGATTTAGGGTTCGGTTGGTATGATTTACTTCAAGGGTCACTGGACTTGGAAACTAAATCTCTTTTTTATTAGGGTAGCTGTACTTATAATTACTTATACCCCCAATGAAGGTACTTATAACCATACTTATCATTACTAAGTCCAGTGATCCTCCAAGTAGGGCTTTAGGGCCTTTAGGGCTTGAGGGTTTTGAGCTTAGGGCCAGGGCGAAAGCGGGGCGGTCATCTGTTTAGGTTTTAGTTTTTTGTATTCAGCTTAGAGGTTTAGGGTTCGGGCAAGGGTTTCAGGAACTAGGGCGTGGGGTTGGCTCATGCGTGTGACTTGAATGACTGGTTGCAAGTCTCGCCTGGATGTTCAGAGACGGATTCTGGGTTACAGTCAGCTTGGCAGTGGCGCAGTCCTGGGTCTCAACTATTGAAGTGCTTTGATCATCCGAAGCCCAAAGTGGCCCAAAGTTTGGGAAGAGTGGCCCTTATCCACCCCTTTCAAGGAACCTTATTAAGGCCCCTATACTATCCTGGGTCCCCCTTTCCTTGGCTCAAGCTTTTTAGGCTTTGCTGTCCGGTTTCGGGTCGTTAAGTTGGGGATCCTACTCTAGGGGCCTCAATAAGTACTTATACTATTTTGGGTGGGTTCCATATTATAATATAGTATAGCGGGCCCAAAACCCTATTCCAATTATGAAGGCACAGTCAGCCTGAAGCCCTGGACCCGAAACCCTAAAGGTTTAGGAACCTTAAACCCATCTTTATATATATATATATATAACCCTAAAACCCTATTACCTACCCATGTTAATCCCAAAGCAATTGTAAGGCTATTTATTACCCATCTTTAACCCCAAAACTCTTGTAAGGCGATTTTTACCCATCTTGGACCCTAAAACCCTTGTAAGTCTAAGGATCAGGCTTTTTGTGCTCGAGAGTTCCTCTAAGGCTCGGTGAATCGGATCCGCATGGGACCTTGCCAAAGGCGACAGGGGGTGGGGGGGAGACTTAGTAAGAGGGTAACAAGAACCTGACTTACTTTTACCCAAGTTGTAACATTAGTTACTAAGTCCCATGAACCTTTAAGTGGGGGGAGGGGTGAGGCTATTGGGGGTGCTGTTGGGTGGCGAAATCCTTCGGTTTTCTGGTGTTCGGGACGCAGGGTTCAGAGTCTCGATATCTGGTGGTGCGATTCAAGGATGCCTGGCCAAAAGCTGCCAGAACTTGACCTCCAGCTGAAGCGGCATTTCGGGTCGGCAATCAATTTTGGACGAGGGTTACATGCATCTCAAGAGTTTTTTGCATGCTTTCGACAAACTGATGCAGTACTTCGCGTAGCTTCGGAGATCGCATACGTATAGCCTTCTCCGAAGACGACACACTCAGGAGATCATCCGTTCTAGGGTGAGGGTCAACCCTAAGCCCCTCTGCATGTCTGGGGCGTTGCTGCAAGTCCACATGCCTCAGACGAATGCCCAATGTTGACCGAAACCTTAGGGGTACATAGAAATATTTTAGTTATTGGTTTTTATAATCCCTAAGAAACAGCTGAAATTGTAATTTTTGCTACGGTTCTAACCTCAGTATAGGAAACTCCCAGACTCTGAAGCGAGGCCTGGGAATGTAAGCAACGACTCTGAAGCCTGAGATCCACTCTAGCAAAACTACGTACCGCATAGTCCCAGCCCAGCTCGGGTCCCTGCCATGTTGTACAAATATAACTTCCATAGCTGTACAGTTTAGTAGGACCGTGGCCGCTAACTATAAGGTTGACAAATCATACGCAGAGAGCGGCACTGCCAGGAGCGGTTCCCTGCGGCACCACAGGTGACTCAGCCAAAATGCTGCACTGCTTGACAGGCCCTCGAGTTCAAGCCCGATATTCCAAGTCTCAATACTCGGGAGGCGCTTCCTAAACCCTGAACCGTGGACCGTTAAGTTTGTCGAAGCCACCTATAGTCTCCATTGTAGTTCCTTTTTTTGGTTCACCAAAAAACTCTATTATAGGATCCTAACCATAAAACTGGTTAACCAAAAAAAGGAACCCTAGATCCGCCTGAAGTTTCAAGAATACTCTTCATGTATTTCTGCCTGGATGCGTAGTTCTGAAGAATTGGGCAGGGTCCCCGTTTGAAAGACGCTCCTTTGCTTTTGGCATTTGTGATTTCCTGTGTATCACGACAAAAAGCCAGCCTGTGCCAATGTAGCGGTCAGAAAGCTTCAACTGACGCAGAGAGCAGGCAGTCAATGCCGTCAGCAAGAAGGCAGAAACTTAGATTATGCTTCGTGCACATCTTCGTGCATGACATGCTCAACACGGCAATGTTAGAGCGCCACTAGCACCGGGTTACCGTTGCTCCAAACACGCAATGGTCCATTGAGAAAATGAGTTTTGTCATAGTTGTGTACCAAGTTGTACTTGGAGGGTCATGGGTAGTTATAAGTAGGGTTATAAGTAGGGTAACTATATACTCATAACCCATATCAGGGCACTTATACAACCGTACGGATAACTACCCCTGAACCTCCAAGTAGTCTAAACCCTTATCAGCCCTTAACTCGAGTGACCTCCAGCTAGGAGGCGTTTGACGCGTACGTCCCGGATCCCGACCCTAAACCCTAAACCCTAAATCAGAAAGCCGCCAAAACAAAACGCTTTTCCCAACAGCTTGTAAGCCCTGATGAATGGTTTGCACTCTATGCTTCAGACTTGCAGATGCTTGAAGGAACCTCAAAATTATATACTACATCCTACGAGCGCAAGCCAAAAAACACATTTAAATTACACCCTCCGTACCTTCCGTAAACCCTTTATGGTTCAACTCTGTCACGTACCCTAAACCCTAAACCATACAGTGCTTAGTACCTCATGGGGCTGATGATATCAATATTGCCATAATGAGGAATATACCATTCTTCCCAAAGTCTAGGGTCATTACAGGAATGCACGATCTATAGCATCAACCGTATGTCCTGAAGCAAAGGATGTCCTCGAGCGCTTCATGTTCGGCATCGCAATGATGGGCCCCTCAAAGCGCAAGGACCTCCATGGGGGGCTTTGAAAATCTAGGGCGCGGGTTTTTAGGGCTCGCTAAACCCCAAACCATTGCACAAACCGCCGAACGCGACTTTCTTGCTTTGTCGCAGAGTAACATCCAGTACGACGGAAGGTTCGTTTGCCAGCGTGTCGCTACACACAAGCTACATGGGCAGGATGTGTTTTCCCGCAGGAGCAACCGATAAGCAGCGAAGTGAACCTTCAGCGCCACAATTGAGATGTGCGGTGTATAAATGCATTCTGAACCGTAGTTCCCAAAACCCCAACGTACGGCACGACCTGAGACTCTAAGTTCGAAGCCCAACGAGCCGCATGGTCCAAATTTATTCCCAGGAGTTTCTGAACACGGAGTGGCTGCGTACCTGGATGTGCAATAACTACTACAAGCTCAGTCGGAGCCTTACGCACTTTGAATTTGCACAAATATGACTAGACTGATTAGACATATGTCATATGCATTTTAGGCATTATGTATACATATAAATGTGTAGATTTACGTACAGGCGCACGTCTTTATGTATATGCACATAATATATGTGTATAGATGCACATGCCCATATGTGCATATATGCCTATGTGGGCATATACTTATTCGTATACATGTACGCATGTGTACATGCATACATGTATATATGCATACATGTATAGATGCGTATTTGTATGTGTGTTTATGTATGTGTGTATATATATATATACATACACATGCGCGTACATGCATATATGTATACATGTATATATGCATTTATGTATATATGTGCATATGTAAATATATATGCATACATACATGTATAGATGTAGGCACATCTGTGTGTGTGGGTTTGTTTACGGCTGTGCATCCATATAGCTCTCTCTCTCTCTCTCTGTCTCTCTTTGTCTCTCTCACACTCCCTTATACCTACTGCCTGAACATCATGTCAATCCGACCTGATCCTAAACCCAAGCACATGTAACACCCTAAAGTTTTTCTTGGAGAATGTCGCAAACTGCTTAGAGACAGTACGTCCGCACCGGTTTCACGGGGCTCGTTCCACGAAGAAAACAGGGAGGGTTCGGAGCACAACGCTGTATTCGAAGCAACTGCATAAACAGCTTCCTGGTACTTGAATACACACTCCCCAAACATCCAAGATGACATGGCCGAAAGCTTCTCATATACGAAGCTAGCACTACAAAGTTGTAATCTCGACCCAAACTTCTAACATGAAGTACTCCTCTGCCTCATGGCTTCTGTTGCGCGTGGTCAGGTTTTCATCACCGCATCAATTAAATACACACCCCAGCAAATGCCGAGTACAACTATTCCTCTGCTCAGCTTCTTCTGTAAAACATTCCGCTCCCTCTATGTTCTGCTTCTATGTGGCATATCTCACACAACTCCACATATGGTCCTTCTTAAACACGCACTGCGCAATTACAGGCTTAACTGCAAATAGACAAAGCATTCTCTGCCCGTGGGCTTCTTACACTGTTGAGTAGTAACGCTTGTCAGTCGTTCAAACGGCCACGTGTCTGCGAGCATAAGCCTACTGTCTCGGGGCCTAGTTTAATTGAGCAAAGCACCCCAACTGATAAACCAATGCGCCCATGAGGTTGAACCTTCAACCCTGCAAGGCAACCCTACACTGTGCAGTTGAGCTCAGATTTTATCCATTCGACAGTTTATGGCCGACAAGAACTAAAGACAGGCTCAATGGCCCCCAATAATTGCACTTCCTACCGACTCCTCATCACACTGCTGTCTAACCAGCACGGCCCCATTCCCCACATCCTGATGGCCCCCTACTAGGCTGTATGTCTTGGTTTCTATTCACGCCGCCTGGATGACGACGACTGGTGCTGTCAGTGGCCACCCCTAGTGCTTGTGTCAGAGCTTCAACTGCGAGCTCCGAACCGGCATAAGAAAGGATTCAAGCAGGGACTGGTTTCCGCTGAATCACAACGAGGATTTGCGAAGTGGTGAGAACTACAAACCCCGAATCCTACACATGAAAACAGGATCACCGGACCAGCAGCATTCCTTTGGAACTGGTCCCCTCTTCATCTAAACAAATTGACAAATCCCTGCCCAAATAGTGACAGCCGATTTCGGCTGACAAGCTTTACTGCTGTTGCTGCTATGGAAGAATGGTTTCTAACCTGTTCCGTCTTCTATTGCATGCGGTCTCTGCTAGTGTTGTAGCGCCGCAAATTTTAAGTTGCTGTTTTATTCTACGTTTTTGTGGGTGATTTTGGGTTTCGCTTCAACGAAGTCATGGATTAATATGAAATCCCCAAATCTCGCCAGGTTTTCTTTTGTTTTCACCAAGAAGTTGGAAACTTCATGATTCTTTGGTGTCTCGGAAGAAATCCGCAACTGTTATAGGCTTTTTTGTTCAACAGCTTCATGGCCACCACCAAAATCCAAAAATCCCAAACTTTGGGGCAGCTTGGAAAATGTTGAATGTCTTGGGTTCTCCTAGGATGTGTTGTGTTTTGTGGTTCCGCCTCATGGAATGCAATTGCATTCTTCTTCCGCGCATGCTCCTCAGATGTTAAGCCAAGCCAAGCAGTTGGTCGATGAGGCGAACCAGGCTTTGAGGTTAATGTTTTTTCAAGGAGGAGCTCTTGAAATTACTTGTTTTTTGTTCACAGTTGGTCGATGAGGCGAACCAGGCTTTGAGGTTAATGTTTTTTCAAGGAGGAGCTCTTGAAATTACTTGTTTTTTGTTCAATGGTTCTTGCAGCAGGGATCCTGGTTCAGGGCTTGGGGTTGTGCGAGTTGGGATAATGGTGGGCTAGAGGTGTCGGGTTGGCTCGCAGGTCTGAACTGCGGACACAACTGTTCGAGCTGAGCATACCTGGACTCTAAGGAACCTACCTTTTTAGGGTTCCCTAATATGATTTCTTCACATAAGTACTTAAAAAGGTAGGTTACATGGGGTTAAGGTAATTATATTCTCGGCCCTCAATATCCCAAGCCTGCAACCACCCGGGATCTGCATCTAACATTCATTCCCGCCCAAAGGGTCCTATGTACCGATATACTAGAATGTAGGGTTTCCATATTAGGAATTACTATTATGACTTAGGGAAGTATCCCCCACAACAGTACTCTTAAAGATCCTTGAAAGGAACCCTTAAAGGGAACCCTATAGATCCTGTAAAGGTACCCTTAAAGGGACCCATAACAGTACATAGGACAATTTGGGCCGTACTCAGTTCCCAGGCTTGTCCGACATTGTCCGCATCAACCGGTACTTGGCTGCCGGTTTGCACGGAGTTGATTCGCGTATGGTCGGTACATGCATGGCAATACCAGGACTTACCCCTAGACCGCACAAGGATGACATTTTACATCTGTGTCTTGCAGAATGTTATTACTTGTATAGGCGGTGCAGAATAATTATGCTCCATGGACATGTAGCATCCGCCCGCTGACATTGAGCCTCTGGCTCAGACTTTACAAGCTGCAGGTTCAACACTCCACAACATTCCAGACTTTGTAGGCATTCCCGATCTCTTTGTTGTCAGCTTATCGCGACATCAGCAAGTAACTGCACCGAGCTGGCCTTTTGTGCTGGAGGTTCAGACGGGGGGAACACAAATCGGATCAGAATTGTATAACCCTAGGGCTCCAGGCACCTAAATAGTAGGTTAGTGACCATATATATTATATACCCCAGTAACCTACTATTTGGGTAATTAACTGGAGCCCTGCTTCATTTCTTCTTGCCCATGATCCGGACCCCGGGAAGCTGATCCACTCGCCTTGTGCAGCCATGGCTGTGCAGGTGAGCCTCTTGAGTGGTCGCACTGCTTCGGTGCCATGGTCCGAGGAACTGAACATCAGGAGATTGATGTGCCAGGCTGGGGAGGAGTTAGGAGTTCCAATCAGCTCCGTGTGCAAGGAGGATGGGTCCTGCGTGCTGAAACTGGAAGACTCCTTGAAAGAGGCGGGTCTGCAGGATGGGGATATCCTCTATGCGACCGTGGGTCAGGCACGTCTGCTCTCAATCCGCCACTTGCCCGCCTTTGTCCTTATCTCCGCAGACAGAACGGCGCGATTTTTTGGGGAGCCTTTGGAAGGCGCCCCGGGCCATCTGCGTGACGTGGAGGATGTGAGCTTTACAACAGGGGCCGCTGCAGTGCTGAGATCCGATGGGAGCGTGCGGAGCTACGGAGCACCTTAGTGGCTGAGTGGATACACTTTCCACTTTTGGGGATATTTAATATTACCCACTATAAATCTGAAAGTGTACACTTTTGGGGGCTTAGGAACTCAGCAACTAAGGCACGGGATGTGGGAGGACGTGGCCCGGCCGGCCTCGTAGGCGTCAAACAGGTTTGTGCCACCTTTGGTGCATTTGCTGCCGTGAAGACTGACGGGAGCGTGGTGGCCTGGGGAAATCCGGATGATGGTGGGGATTGTAGTGACGTTTCGACCCAGCTGAGAGATGTCGACCGGCTCTACAGCGCAGGACAATCTTTTGCAGCGGTGCTCCGCAATGGCTCCGTGATCACCTGGGGAGATGAATCAGGGGGTGGGAGCGGTGATAGCAGCGCTGTTCAGCATCAGCTATACCATCCCGTATACATGGCAGGGACGCGCGGTGCCTTTGCAGCACTGCTGCCCGACGGAAGCGTAGTATGTTGGGGTGATTCTGATTGTGGTGGGGACTGCTCAAGGGTACAGCAGCAACTATGGAACATAACGCAACTGTGCGGGACGGATGAAGCCTTTGCCGCTTTGCGTGCAGATGGCCACGTCGTAACATGGGGTGAAAGCTCGGCCGGAGGGGTTGCCGGCGGTGCCCAGCCGAAACTTCGGAATGTAGTCCACTTGCAAGCTTCCGATGCGGCATTTGCAGCTCTGCTTTGTGACGGCACCGTGGTCACCTGGGGTTCTCCATCCCACGGCGGCGACAGCCGACGAGTTCAACATGAATTACAGGGTGTACGCGCGTTGTGTGCATCCTCAGCTTCCTTCGCAGCCCTGAGGCAAGATGGCTTCGTTGTGACCTGGGGGAAGTTGCAGATGCCCATCGTTGGAAAAGTTGCGAGTGTAAGCGGGGCCGCTGGACGATTTGCAGTCCTCTTGTTGGACGGACGCCTCCTCGGATGCCAGGAGAAGAAAACCTGCTATTGGATGCCTTTGGATGCCTGCGGGGCGAGCGCTTTCCTCCGCCTCGGATGACTTTTCGGCGCGCAGTAAGCTCCATTCAATCCGAAGAAAACAGCTTCCGATTGAGTTGTGGCCTTCGGGGGAGCCGCAGCCTGTCTTAAGGGGGCTTCATCCCCAACCAGTCTGCATCGGACAGATGCAGTTTGCTTTTTCCCTTGGTCCTGCACATCCTCTTACCCTAATCCTTAAACCCCACCCAATACTGTCCGAGTCTCATGGTATCCCTTGATTGGGGATCAAGGTCCGGGATGTTCGGGTTGATGAACTGAGAACACGACCAGCCCCTTTGTGCTCTCCCTGCGAACAGAAACATCTTCCTCACTTGGCGCATGTTGGAACTCGCGTGAACTTACTCCTGAGCTTTCAATGCGCCTTATCACATCATGGTTCCCTCGACCCTAGAAGATCAGCTACCTATGTCCTGCCTGAGTGTGGGCCCTAAAGCATGACCCAACGCTTGAAGGCAGTCTCTCCCCCTCTCCTGCTGCGGCAGGCCGAAAACCCCCAAATGACAAAGACCACCGACAGAAAGCCAACATCTTTGAACCCAATCCTGCTCCGAATACTCTTAAACCTCGTCCTAAACTCAACACCTCAACTGCAAGCTCCTAAACCCTAAGACCTTGTTGCAAGTGTGAGTTTTCGAAAATAGGGGACCCTAATCTAGTACCCTAAATAGTAGGATCCTTATCATAAGGACCCCTAAATAAGGTACCCCCTCTCCCAATTTTCGGAAACTCCCAAGTACTTGGAGGTTCAGGGGTAGTTATAAGTAGGGTTATACGTCCCCTAAGATGGGTTATAAGTATACTTACCCTACTTATAACCCTACTTATAGCTACCCATGAACCTCCAAGTAGGTCCTAAACCCTATACCCTTCTTGAATCCCCATAGATCCCTCTAAAGGGACCCTTAAAGGAACCCTTATAACCGCCCAAGTACCTCCTGGAGAAAATGCTCTTCCAAAGGTCCAGATCCGGAGTTTCGACCAGCCGCTCCGATGCAGCTCATAATAGGAGTTTCCGAAAGGTAGGAGTACCTTTAAAGGGATCCTTTAAGGGTTCCTTAAAGGGATCTATAAGGGTTCTATAAAGGGTTTAGGGTTGAGAGTTCAGGAGTTTCCGAAAAGTGCGGGTACCTATTTTGGGGTCCTTATACTGTAACAAGGATCCTACTATCTGCGGTACTGTAGTAGGGTCCCCCGTTCTCATTTTCGTATTCATATAGGTGGTTGTCAAAATCATGGTCCCTCTCTGGGTCCTTAATTATTATAGTACGGCACCTAATATTTAGGGTACCCAAAGTGGGACCATAATTTTGACAACCACCCATACAGGCACCCATATAGGAGATGAGTAACTCCAGCAACAATCAGCCTTACTTAGAGGTTACGTAATACAATCATAGCATATAAACCTATTCCTTAGGGTTCCTGAGTCTGGAGAGCCCCTTCTGCTACGAAAACTGTAGTATCTAGCACTTCGCCTTATAAGGTTCCAACATTCTGGTAGTGTATGAGACCTCCACCCCTACTCTATCTTACCATGAAGAGACCCCTGCATTAGATTGTTTCCTTTGCGTCTAGTTGGCCTTCTAGAACCCTGGATGCTGAGGTTTGGGGATTCGAAAGAGGACTTTGAATTCTGTTGTTTGGGTCAATGCTACAGGCCGTCTAAATCTCTGATTCAGTGTTTGGACTTTGAAGTCTGCTGCGGCATCCGCAAAGTTGTGGGCTTTAGCAGGTTTACGTAAGGAGGTGGGTTCCCAGGCCAGACAACACCAGAGGCCGCGCCTGGAGATTCAAATGTCAGGGAGCACTAGCTCACAAACTGCGGCAGCGCGGGCTTTTTCGAATGTCGACAGCAAAGCCTAGATAGGTGGTTTGCTCGACAGACGGCTAGAGGACTAGCTAATAGCTACGTATGCAGGCATGTCGATGGATACTGAGTTGGGTGGTTGTCAAAATCAGGGTCCCTTTCTGAGGTACCCCCAATATTAAGTGCCGTATTATAATAAAGACCCAAAAAGGGGCCTTAATTTTGACAACCACTCAGATGATTTGACTCAGGGCCTACTTGGAGATTTTCGTGGAGTTTTTCTGTGAGAACATGGAGCAGTTGCGTAAGCCCGGGCCTTGGTATACACTGGGATGTAATGTAGGGACCTTCATAATTCTCTATACTATTTCGCGGGTTCCTTATTATATTTATAGTATAGTGGGCCCCAAAACCCTATTATTTATAGTATAGTTGGCCCCAAAACCCCTATTATTTCTAGTATAGTGGGCCCCAAACCCCTAGTCTAATTGTTCAGGCCGCTGTATTAGACTTGGTTCAGACTGTCGATTCGGTGGGACTCCAAGCTTCTGTCTGCACTCGCACTCCCCAGAGACTCCAAAATCCCTGAATTCAGGAATATACTTCCCTTAATCAAAGGAAAAAACCGTAAGTTATAGTAGGATCCCTAATATGATTTAAGGAATATTCCTTAATTAAGGGATATTGGAGTCTCTAGGATTCTAGAGTCGGTTATCGGAAGCTACGAGCGCTGCGATCCTTATCGGGGTCAACATCAGTATTGGGATCAGACGTGTTATCATCATCAGTATCACCGCCGTCGACAGAAACAACGTGGATCATCATGAGGACCCCCACACCATCACCAAGACACTCACCCTCGTCGTTATTCATCATCTTCTTCGTCATCACCATCTCCAACATAATCATCGTTATCGTCGCTGTCATCAACATCATCAACTTAAGAGGAGTCTGTACATGATTGTACGGGCAGAACTACCTCATCAACTTCATCTTCATCATAACCATCATCATCGCTATTGTCAGTATCATGATCATCACCAATAGCATCTTGATCACGAGTACTGTTGTTTGAGCCAGAATCTCGGTGCCGGAATGGGCTGTTGGAGTTCTGCCGCCTTCCTGCCTGGCAGGTGCGACATACAAGATCTGACGCACACGCAACTCGGCAGTCATAGCTGTCATAGCTGCTTTCCCTGAAAGCATCCAGTTAGTCTTGTCTCTTGTTTGAAGTTGACTGCATAGCTCCTACCCCTTCACCCCTGAAAGTTACTCCCTAAACCCCCAACCCTTGTCTCCCATCCCTGAGCCTTAAGCCCCTTCTACAGCACAGGACCCCTAAACTCCTCCAGCTCTAGAAACCCTCAAAATCCGTTAGCCTCCGCCACCCTCAGTGGTCCAGGTACAACCACGCCCGTGTAGGGGAGGAGGCGCCGATCCAACTTTGAGTTTCCTAAGCCGACAGGGTCCCAGATTAGGGTTTAGGGTTTACCTGTAGCCGAAAAGACCTACCTTTTTAAGGAATTATATATATAGAAACCATAATAAGGCATCCTAAAAAGGTAGGTCTTTCCGGCTACAGGTATGGTTTAGGGTTTAGGGGTTCAGGGTTTAGGGCTTGTAGGGTTTAGGGTCTAGGGTTTATAGAGTTTGGGGTTGAAAGGGCTGATAGAGTTTATAGGGTTCATAGGGCTTAGGGTTTAGACAACCCTTCACAGAGGGACCTCTAAAAACAGAATAGGGTTGTGAGCTTGGGGCTATAGCTTCTTACAGTTGAATTGTCGTCGAGTGCATCGTGATTTTAGGTTGCAGGTTTCGGCATTCAGGATCTGTGGATTCAGCGGTGAGGCATCTTGGGTCTACAGTTTTCGCATTTATTTTCTCGTTTGACTACCATCGGGGCTTAAATAAATACTAATACTATTTTGGTGGGTTCCCTTTTATCAGTACAGGAGACTGAGATGGAATCGTGAGAAGAATACAAGAACAGCGACAAACATTTCAGAACATTGCAACATGTCGGTCGGAGCCGCTGTGCGCAGAGCCAGGGTCGCCAAGGCTCGCTGATGCAACTCTAAACACAGCATCACAACCCGCGCATCTAATCATCCACATCTGCAGGGCGATGATTTGCGGATTAAGTGGGTCGGCAACAACCTCAAGTATCCGATGCCGCCAGATGGTTACTGCGGTTGGCACGCCTTAAGAGCGGGCCGCAGCGATGTCAGCTTAAACGATTTCCTCGATGTTCCACGGCTACTCATCGGCAAATGTGAATTGTATGCAGAATTCATGTATTTCAATTGAAATACAACCAAACCTCATAAGCACAGTACTCTGGGTCCCCAAAACCCATTGTAATTAGTAAGGCCCCTATTTTGCCCACTAGCCCGGCAAATCCTACAGCTCCAGACCTTTCTAATTGGCACCTGTAAGTGCCTTCTTCATTGGCATTTTCCAAGTATTACAACAAGCAGGGGGAACACCACGCCTCTACATAGCTGTAAGTATAGTTGCAGCAGTGCTTCTTGACAACTCGCCATAAGGCGCAGAGAAAGCTATTCTCTTGGTGCCCGGTATCGGCCATGTAATATGTAATGTAGAAGCCTGAATAGTTTCGTTGTATTATCATTCCTCAGCATCCATCAATGAACTTGTACATGCGAGTATAGCCTCTAAACTAAAACCCTACGCTTTCTAATCACCAGCAAGGTCCCTAAAGTGCCTTCGGGCATTCGGGTAAGTGGGGTTCAGACCCGGGGGGGGGGGGGTGCCAGGCCTCTCCGTCGCAGGTTTAGGGTCGTAATACCCATAAGCCCCCTTTTAGTTCCTTTTTGGGGTTCATATCTAGAGTTCTATAAGGTAATCCCAAAAAGGAAGTAGTATGGGGCCTTTGGGTAATGCCCATTGAGTAGCGGTTCTGGTTTTAGGGTTTAGGGCTTAGGGTTTACAGCATTGTAGTTGCCTCAACTACTGTCGGTTTGTCGTATCGTTCTAGGTGTGTTCATTGCTATGAAATCTAATTCAGGCTGGCACGAAAACTCATTATTACTGCTCTTACTAGGCTTCTCAGCATTAGCAATAGTTATTTTTCTTCTAGTGCTATGTTTGTCTTTAGTTTTCCCCGAACACTAAGCCTTGAAACCCTACTGTTATTCATCTTTCAGGCGTTGTGTGTTACCGAGTTGGCTGTCGCTTGCAGCTCTGAGCTCCAATGCTGCCACAACACCCCGAACCCAAGACCGCTGAACCATCCTCCCCCAGAATCTTAAAGGGAACTCCAAAAAGTTTGAATATGGTTTCAGGGTAGGATACCTAATAATTTACCATATAGGGTTTAGGATAATCCCAGAATCTTAAAACTGCAAGCCCTAAATCCTATAGCCTGGCTGTTAACCCTCGAGCCACAGAGCACCGACAACCATGCTAATGTGAAGCCTGCGCCCTAACCTCCTTCGATTCTTCAGGCCGTTGGGAGGCACTTCTTTTGGGCCCTGGGCCAGCAATTCCAAAAGGCTCACGCCAAAGGCCACAGAGTTGCAGGGATTGGGTGTAGAGAAGGGCTGTGACCAAGGGGTATGGACGTATATACTGTTGTCCCGAAGGCAGTCCTGTTGGGTGCAGTACCTTCGGTGATAAACAGACAGCTTTGCCATGTTTGAGGGGGAGATCTCTTGGTCAAGGTCTTCGGTGTTTGCCTCACAGTTTTTCACTACCGCAACTTAGTATTGTTTTAGAGTCTCAAGTCCTAAGTCATGGCTTGGTAATCTTTCAAAACACTTCGTAGTAGTAGAGTAGGTAACCTTTAGCCTCTTTGAGGTACTATAAACCCCAGAACCCTATATATTATGTATACTCCCAAAGGTTAACCTTTAGTTCCGCTAGGATACTGGACAAGTAAGACCTCAAGAGAAGTAGCTCAAGCAAATCTGTTCAGGCCTCAGGCCCTAAACCCGAAGCCTTTTTTAAAGACCTGAAGCCCTAGCGCTTCAAATAGCTAGACATCCCTACCGGGACCCAAACGGCATTTAGAATAATGACTTTTTATAGGTTTGGGGCCAGCATTTTATCCACTGTTGTGGGGTTTTAGGTAGACCCCAACATGGTGGAGGCCTCGGTTGCGCCTCTAGCAAAACCCGCCTGCTCTCTCAGAAGATCGAGTTGTCCATGACTTGTTTGCATCGGAGACAAAAAGGGTCCGGAGTTTAGGGTTTCGTGGTGTAGGATTTCAGCATTGCTTAAACCTTAAGGGTTGCGCTCGGGTTCAGACTCTAGGGCATAGGGTTCATGGAGCAGCAGGAAATCTGGCGCAGAAGACAACAAGACCGTGAGCATGCTATAATACCTCCCCAGATTCCCCGAAACAAGAGCAGCAGCAAGAAAGTTACTGATCGTAGCAGTAAACGGAAACGGGATTATGACCTTGAGAGCGACAAGTCTGCAAACCTAAACCCTAAACCCCGAAATCCTGAGCCCTGAATTGGAAGGCTTCGAACTCCTCGGCCCCCAGCACCCTCTGCTGCCACAGACGCCTGAAACCGGAAGTTGTCCCAAAGGCTGAAACGTTGCGAGAGAGCAACCCTAAACCGCCTTTACACAATCATAAGTTTTTTGTCCTGAATGAGTCAGGCTGCTATTACGGATTCTGGTGAGTGGGTACATGGCTCATCTTTTGCATGGGTGAGTGTAGATTTTTGGGTTTCATTCTGGGGATGCCCCCACCCTGTAATGGTGGTATAATAGGAATATAATAGGGCCCTAATATATTCCTTATAGTCACTATTACAGGATGGGGCCGCTTATGAACACCCCTGCTTCACATCTCGACGGAGGAGTCTTGCAGAAAGCGGGGCGGCTGCGGCCGAACCTGCAGAGAATTGGTTAGAGCGGCTCGGTTGGGCAAGTTGGGTTAAGGGTACTAATACTAATACTAAGATTAACATTAATACTAATAATATTAATGAATACTGATATCAATACTAATATTAATATTAATACTACTACTAGTAATAATAATAATGCTAATATCAATACTAATATGAATACTAATACGGTCTCAGCTCATGGGGTTTAGGAAGGCCTAAGGTGCACCGACTGGGGAACCTTCCTTCCGCTGTGTGTGGCATTTGGTCCGATGTGGCATAGTCGTCCTTCCTAGTTTGCCTTTGGGGGCTGTTGGCTCAACTACCCTCTAATATACCCTAAATACCCACTATGAAGGACCTATTCAAGGGTTCCTGGTGAGCTGCTTGAAACCTCAGTACTCCATGTCCAAAGCAGCCTTGGGAATCTGAGAAGCTTCGTCCCCAGCGACTCCAATATCCCTTAACTAAGAAGATATGCTTTAAATCATATTTGGGATCCCCTACTGGAATTTAGGGTATATTCCTCAATTCCCTGATAGAACCCTTATAGATCCCCTTCAAGGAACCCTCCTTAATGAAGGGATATTGGAGTCTCTTGGTTCCCTTTATCTGTCTTGACCCTGGAGCCCTTGACTTGCCGGGTCTCTTAAGGTCGGACTTCTACTAGCGGCCTAATATGACATAATTGTTTTCATGTATATTTTTAGTGTTATATGCCATAACTTCGTTTTGTCTATACACTGTTGCACATTAGTACATTTTAGCATACTGCGCATCGTAAGCATTCTGTCAGACCTTGCCCCGTCCGCCAGATTGGCTCGGCAATCTGAATCTGCAGGGTCCACACGTTGCGATGACGTCGTAAGGTCGCAGGTTTTTGTTTTCAGGCTTATGCCTTATGCCGGGTTCAGGATTCATCCAGGGAAGTGGCCAAGGAGCTGAGAAGCTTGTGGTTCAGGGTCTAGGGCGAACCCCTTCCAGATCCTGCAATCCCGGCCCAGGCGAGTGAGCTCATCGTGGCCAGCGAGGGGGCCGACTTTGCCAGGGCTCCGGGTTTTCTTAAACCACGAGACGAATCCTCGTGCCACTTCTTGGGCACGTGGTCCTCCTGGAAGCTCAGTTACCTGCATAGTAAATTGCTGGCCCTTTCTGGCCACAGAGATAGAAAGTAACCCATACCATGACAGGAACTGGGCTTCCAGTCGTCATGAATCCTGCGCAAGAATCTCGACTGACCCAGCGCAAGCTCTCACTCTGTCCTAGAAGTAGGCCGAGAAACTCGAGGTGCACTGGTGTTACTCGGGATCGGAAAAGCCTGCATCTCGACAGTTGTGTGCCGACGGAACTTGTTGGTCTATGTAGGTGGTGAAGACAAATTCTCCAGGCTTCGTGAAGACATTGAGATCTTTGAGTACCGCGAACCCGTATCGCATAAACCGTGCCATCTATCGGGGTGGAGGTTGCTGTGTTGTCATACAGATTCCTGCTCCCGGTTTGTTTCTAGGATGCAGGGACTTGTGCCTTTTCGGTTCAAGACTCGAGGGCTGGGGAGGGTGTGGGGGTCGCACGGTGTTCATGTCATCCGTCAAACTGCTCGCTATCCTAAATCGGTAAACGCAAGTCTCTGTTTTCGAGTGTGAGCATTAGGTATAGACTATGCAGGGCCTGGCCAGAAGCCTTGCTATAGCTTACTGTCCAATATACAATGGCCATACAGACAGCAACCTACTGTATAGATTCCTGGTCTTCCAGGGATGGTAGATGCTACCTGAGCCTCGCAGAGCTCGTCCACAAGATTCCTAGGAGCCGTAAGCACCGGAAACCCTGAACTCCACAAGCACAGCAAAAGTTGTCAGGATACTTGCCACCATAGTCATCGAGACAGGTACACTTTATAGTGTTATGACTATGGCTATCACCCTATAAGCCCCATGAGCCATGGTCTCAGCAGCATCCTTGAGCCAGCTACCCACGCAGCGCGGCTCTCGGTTCGGGGAGCGATGGTGGTGTTTTGCGGGGGGACGACTTGCTGTAACATAGGGGCCGTAATAAGTACCTATACTATTTTGGGAGGGTTACTTATTATATAAGTATAGTAGTATAATGGGCCCCAAAACCCTATTCTTATTATTAAGGCCCTTCTGTAACAGGACCCTCTGTCAAACAGGTGGGTTGATCGAGCCCGTTTCGAACGGCCGCCAGTTCAGGAGTCAGAGAAGGGGCTCGAGTGGTGCTTGCTCCTTCAAAACCTCAACAGGCACCTTCGGCTTGTGCAAAAGATGTTGCTAGGGAAGTTGGCGGTTTTTCAAGCACACTTATGGTGCACGTGTCATCCATACACGCCCATGTCAGGAATGCCGTCTGGACGACACAGTGCAAATGGGTAGCGGTGGTAGTAGTAGGAGTAATTAGTAGTGGCAGTAGCAGCAGTTGTAGTAGTAACCTGAGTAATTAGACGCGCCCTGATTTGATCGCATGTCTCTCGTGCATTTTTGAGAGATTCGGGGGGTGAGGTGGAAGATTGGTGCGAAGCTGGCCTCAGAATTGGGAGTGAGATGGAGAGGTCAAGCCTGATCGTGTTTTGCCATCGGGGGAAGGAGTTTTTGGAGCCGCTGATGGCAAAAAGCTCGCTTCCGGCCCACAGACCGTAGGTTGCCTGTGGCAACGCCTCGACAAATTCATCGGAGCAGCGACGAACGCCCTCACTCTTGAAGGTGACTGTTCGTTCGAAGTTGTTCGCTTGGTGTTTCCACTCTATAACCCGAGTTTGCCAGAAAAAGCATCGTTTTGAGGACACTGGGCTTGGCTTTGCACCAGTGACACGTTTCTACAAACGCCTGCAAGGGGAACGCAGATGCGAGAAAGCTGTGCGGAGTCACAATCACTATCCTCCTCGGCATGCTCACGCAAGATGTCGTGCATCATGCGCTTCTCCGCGTGCGAACCCATCACCATCACGGCGGTGAGCAAGATCATCGGAATCTTCATCTTGATGGTTTGTCAAAGTAGTTGAAGTAGTTTCCCGGACTTCCACCCTGCGAATTTGCAACCCACCTCAGTCCGCAACAGCCCAAATGTCCGGTAATTTGAAGTGTGTTCCACACTTCCACCAAATAAGCCAAGGCCCAAAGTAGCCAAGCTACGAGCCGAGTAGTAGTAACAGGAGTAGCAGCAGTAGTAGTAGTAGCAGCAGTAGCAGTAGCAGTAGCAGTAGCAGTAGCAGTAGCAGTAGCAGTAGCAGTAGCAGTAGCAGTAGCAGTAGCAGTAGCAGTAGCAGTAGCAGTAGCAGTAGCAGTAGCAGTAGCAGTAGCAGTAGCAGTAGCAGCAGGAGCAGGTGAGGAGGAGGAGTAGAGTAGGAGAGTAGGAGTAGGAGTAGGAGTAGGAGTAGAGTAGGAGGAGTAGGAGTAGGAGTAGGAGTAGGAGTAGGAGTAGTAGTAGTAGTAGTAGTAGTAGTAGTAGTAGTAGTAGTAGTAGTAGTAGTGGTGGTGGTGGTGGTGGTGGTAGTGGTAGTGGTAGTGGTAGTGGTAGTGGTAGTAGTAGTAGTAGTAGTAGTAGTAGTAGTAGTAGTAGTAGTAGTAGGAGTAGGAGAGGAGTAGAAGTCGTAGTAGGAGTAGGAGTAGTTGTAGTACTACTACTGCGACGGCGGCGACGACGACTCCTACTACTGTTACCAATATTACTGCTGCTGCCGCTGCTGCTATTGCAGTTGCTAGTACTACTTCAAGTACTAGTACTAGTCGTAGCAGCAGGAGTAGTGTCAGTTGCAATTTGTCAGGATCCCCTCGCATAGTGCTTTCGGGTTGCCTCACCGAGGCTCACATCGGATCTCGGACGCCCGAGCAGCAGCATCAGGGTCGCTCGGCGTGTGGGCGTTTTTTTTGCCTGCATGGTGCAGGAGGCAGTTCTCAACAAAAACATACAGACGTGCGATATGTGTATAGTGTATAGTATGCAGCTGTATGCACATCTTTACATCTATTTCTAGAGCGAGAGAGAGAGAGAGAGAGAGAGAGAGAGAGAGAGAGAGAGAGAGAGAGAGAGAGAGTGTGTGTGTGTGTATGTATGCATGTGTGAGTGAGTGAGTGAGTGAGTGCGTGAGTGACGGAGGGAGGCAGGGTGTCCCTTGGAGTAGGGTGAAAATTCGGCAGCAACACAGAAAGCCTAGCATTACCAAGCCCGCGAGGTGAACCCACAAACAAAGCTAGAACTACAATGCACTTTCGGAAGAAGTTTTTGTTTCCAGCGGACTAGCAGCGACCTTTTCAAACAGATGTATCCCGGAGACTTCATAAAGTCGCTTCGCTTAAGGCTGGCGCTTCAGAGGTTGGGGTTAGATATCAGGAACTTGTGCGGTTAACATTTGTGGTGCCACAAAACACACCAGGGCTCGGTCTTTGAAGCTTCGGACATTGCAGGGCCTAGGCTGTAGCGTTCATTAGCGTCAAGAACCGCACTTACTTTTCACGGCGTTTCGTGTGCGTCGTTCTCGTTGCCTTCCTGCAAGCCTGACACCTGAACTTGCTATTGAATTGCTGACCAAAGTCTTAAAGAGTCCTGAACCCTAATCACTCCGAAGCCTCCCACCTCCGACCCTTGGAGGTGAACACGAAGGTTCTGCCGGGCAGACTTACCAGCTTTGAGGCATCTTCATGAACCCTGGACCCTGCGCCTCAGGAACCCCAAACCCCATGCCCTGGGCTCTAAACTGCCCCAGCACCCTAAACCTGAAACCCTGAGCCCTCAGCCCTGAACCAGGGTTTGGCTGAATTGCTCAAGAGCAGCTCTCAAGCACCCCCGCTATTGTATATTGCTCAGTATAGTACAGTATAGTTTGTGTAGTGTTTGCCGGGACATTGTTTCATATCATCTTATTGCAGGTTGTCGTCTGAGTTGCACCGACCAATAGCCTGAATTGCAGGAAGGGGCTGAAAGCTGCATCGGCAGCAGTGGCAGCAGTGGCAGTAGCCGCATGGGTTCTTGTAGGGTTTAGGCTTCAGTTTGTTTCTTGTCGACACGCGGG